TTAATCTTGCGACACTCCGGGCAGGTCCAGTTCTTGCGCTTTGGCTTACTCTTCAGCTGCAAACAAGCCATGTGGAACAAACGAATACTGCAATCGTTGTTGGAACATCGCAGTACCTCGCCAGCCTTCACAGACTTGCAGTAGCAAAACTCCGGAGGGCGTTCTTGATCCGCAGTAGATGTTGTACTGGCAGCACCAAGTGGTTCCGAGGCTGATGTAGCCGCTGAAGACGCATCGGCAGGAAGAGTGGAGAACGTCTTAGTGAACCATTTCCCAACAAGCTCTGGGAGAACAGCACACTGGAAGAATTTCTTGGCACCTGCTACCGCTTCACGGATGAAATCTGTGTCTGCACAGATACGCTCCACAAACAGCTGACCTTCATTCCACACAACAAAGTCACAGTACTGCACCTTACACACCAGCATCTGTAGCTGTACTTGGTAGTAGTACATGTGGTCTTGCTTAAGATGGAGTGCTCCGCCGGACTTTACTAGACAGAACTTCCCTGAATCGGCAGCATCATGCAGGCTACTGTCTCGGCACCCGTACGGGCACTTCACTTCCACCACGCCGTTGCCACAGCAGGAGCACTGCACAAGGGAGTCGGGAGTAGCGCCAAGATATGGATAGTCCGGATGAATTACAAAGCCACTGGGCAGTACTTCAACCTTCTGATGTGTTGCACTGGCATGTTCACTATAGTTGTCAATTGCCTTCTGCTCGTGATCACATCCCCATTGTGTGGCTTTGCTACGAAACTTGTGTGCCTCAGGGTAACACACAGAGCGGACTAAGGACGCAGAGGGCTGGCTAATATCCGTACGAACAGCAGACTTCAACTTTGAAGCTGTGATCCGGCCGGCGCGAAATTCAAACCAGGCCTTGGAATCTGCCTGGTTCCGCGTAGCCTGTTCCACAGCGCGTGCTTCCTCCTCTGAAACACAGACCGCTGGAAATACTGCCTCGCAACGAACGAGCAGGTCCCCAAAACTAGCATCCAGCATGTCTGGTTCGTACAATAAATCCAAAATGGGTGGATATCCCTCCGGCTTGGAAGGTACGTACCTATCGCAGAACTCGGGAACAAGGGAGAGCAATGACGGTTTACCGGCTTGACATAAATTTCCATATATTTCACCCAGCTCAGCACTGGAGGGTTGCTTAATATCAGCAGGGACCTTCTCCTCCGACCTACGGCGCTTGCTCCCATGCTGTTTAGTGTCGGGTGCAGTGAAGTTTATGTCACGAATCCTGGCATACTCCACCTCCTTCATTGAAGGAGTTGACCATTGGCACGGCAATGAAGTGCTTCCTGTGTTCTGAATCAGCTGCGTTCTAGAATACAGGCTGAACAACAGTGCAGCAACGTGAGAACAAGACTCACCAAGACCAGCCATGCAGGTGCAGTGTGCACAAATCACGCTACCGTCGTTTTGCGCAGCAATCCAGGGTTGCAGATGGGTGCCGGAAACTGACTGGGAATGGCGGACTTTGGCGATGACAAACTTGCTGTCACATGTGTCAGATTCGGACGCTGGAAACGCACGAACATCGCCGACCCAGCCACTGACAAGGTATTTGTAGCCTTCCAAGCTCTTGTAGGCCTTGAGCTGCTCCTTGGTGTAGGGGCTGGGCGCGTTGACCAAGAAATTGTAAATATCGGGATAGTCCACAAGTGGAAATTTATCTTCCTCTAAAAAAATACTTCTGGGCAGGTAAGGATCACTCGAGTCTGGTGAAACGCGCTCGAGCTTTTCACGGTACCGGCATTTGCTGGAGTCATCTAACTCGTCATACACTTTTGAAAACTTGGGAGAAGTCATGGCCACTGATTCAGCGTTCGTACAATAGTCCTTTGTAAAGAACAGAAGAGGAACGTAACAGCGATACAGGAAATTTCCTTCGTGAAATTATTCCAGGCACATGTACTTCTTTTGAACTTTTCATCTCTTTTGCCACCCCTGCGGAGCGCGGCCGCTTTGGCCGCCTACACGCCGCCTGCACGTGATCCTTTCGCATAACCTCTATAGCCGGTGCTATTGCTGTTGCACTGAACAATACATTAGCAGCGTAACTGCTTCTCAGCTGGCATTGTCGTTCGCTATTGCATTATAACCCGCGCTGATGTTTACTTCATGTTTTTAGCTAAGCTTACAATAGGAGGTGTTCGTAGCCGCTAGGGTCACTTCTCGTTTCTCCCTCTTCTTGTCCGGGGCAATAAACGTCCTTTAGGTTACGGTGACCTTGTTGTGTGAGTGGTTGGGCAGTAGCCGTATATTGCGGCTGAACGCTACTACTAGCGGGATACCCGGGTACGACACATGTGTAAATATGTATATATTGTGTATCACCAGTGTCTGATCCAAACTTTCTCAATTTGGCTCATGTCTATGAATACAGCAGGGAAATAAACTTTCAAACCAAAAAATAATAATTTTCCGACCGACCGGGCGTATTTTTTCGGGGGGGGGGGGGGTGCCGACCGGAAACACGAAATCTTTTTGTTTTGGCCATAATAATAATATCTTTATTAGGCCACCTAGAATTAATTCGTTGTTTCGGGTCACTTCACTCATCCGTACCAGGGTCGGTCGGTCGGGTTTATTTTTTATTTTATTTTATTTTGGTTTACGTCCATGTGCATACATGTACATCGAATAGTTTTTGTCCATCTAGCCAGTCGATCAAATCTGACTGTAGTGTAGACAATCCAGCGCAGTCATTGTCCCATCAGATCCAGGTCCCCTCCAGGACCAGGTCCAGATCTTGGCCTCGCTGGCAAACGAGTCTGACGAGCAGCTCTCATCTTGAAAACTTCTGTAAATAGCGACAAGGTGTCGGAGCTGATGCTGTTTCAGGACCGATTGCGGATCGGAGATAGAAGCCGACAACGACGGTTACGTCGTCACCAAGCGCTGCATCCTGTCATTTGGCTCGCCATGGCTGCTTCTGAGGTCGATATCTGGACTGTGTTTACCGCCATATTGCCAGGTGTGTCTTTACCACCATATTTATCAACCATAAGTACAGCTGCAGTGGTGTCTTCAATTTCATTCTCCCGAGTCAAGCTCCGTATGAAGACATCCAAGAAGAAGATTGCCTGATGAGTCCAGCGGGGACGAAACGTACGTCGCAATCGAGCTATGTCGTTGCTGTGTCATCACCTATGTGCCATGCGCTACTTGATGTACCAGCCTGATATGCCGGATACCGCCAGCCATGCATCGACCAGGCGCCAGGCGCGAACTGATGGTGGTGGTGGTGAGAAGGAGAGCTCTGAGCCAGAACTTTGCAGCCTAGAGAGCGTGTGTGGGCAGGCGTGTGTTTACTGCCATATTGCCAGGTGTGTCTTTACCACCATATTTATCAACCATAAGTACAGCTGCAGTGGTGTCTTCAATTTCATTCTCCTAGTTCTGTTACATAATCTTCCCCTAATCTGCTAGGTGGCATAGAACCGCGAAGCCATCTTTCCGGCTGCTATTTTCCACATCGCAATGTTGTGCCATTTCCATCACCATCATAATTCATAATACTGGGCAAGCCTGCCCGTCTGGTTCGCGATGTTAGAATATACCCCCCCCCCCCCCCCCCACACACACACACAATGGTTTCCTCTTTGCTTTGTCATACCACAACCATTCAATGCGGTGAACCCCTCGATAGGCGATTTGCCTTTGGGTCATCCTAATAAAGTTATTATATTATTATTAAACAAGCAAACACAACAGCATTCACCGCCGTCCGCACATCCGCATATACCTACGCAGTGCTGGTCCATTTCTAACACCGGTGCCACACCGACAATACGATTATGATTCAGAGAGAAAAGGACTTCAATGAAAAAAGCTATCAGTACATACGCGTACAGTGGAACGATAATAAACGAGAAACAGGAGATCAGTTGTAAGGAGGACGTACAATCACAAATGAAGGAGAAGGAACACGTGTAGTATCATGCTTCATGTCCATCCTATGCAGTAAATGAATGGCAAATCAGACGATAGGAGAGATGCATTGGAAATGGTAGGAAATGTCACCAGCACACTGGTCACTGACCTTGCTCATACTGTTGAACAGCTACATTGTACATTTACATGTACATGTACAATGTAGGACCAGCTGTGGCACAGTAAAGCGAGTTATTTCTTCAGCTGCACTGCTCACAGGTAGGTGTTGGCATATTCCTTAAAGGGGAAGTTAAGGCAAAAATTAAAATTTCACCAGTTGTAGTCTTCGGAGTGCTGAGTCGAATGGTCGTGGTCCCAGGAAGCTGAGACGCTCCCTTCCTACTTGAATCTCAATCGAACTCGCGCACTTCCACCGAAACTGGGTGACTGCGCCCTACTAGATGGGGATTTGTATGCAAAATATCACTAAAAGCGCCATTTCGTTCTTATAAAAGCACGGATGACCGCGATTGGCCCATATGTTGTAGTCTTTTGGACGCTGAGTCGACTGGTTTTGGTCCGAAAAGGCTGCGATGCAGCATTCCTCCTTTATTCCCAATCGAACATGGTTGAAGAAGCGGTCACGTGCTCCTGGGTGCCCAAATCACCTGGTCACCACGCCAGCAGGCGACAACTTTCACACCAAGGCTCAACTCGAGTTCAACTCGAGTGACAGGACTGCACCCAAAAAAGGTCAAAACAGGCTAGTAAGTTGTACCCTGCAGGCACGGTGACCAGGTGACTGGTGTACGCAGGAGCACGTGACCGCTTCTTCAACCATGTTCGATTGGGAATAAAGGAGGAACGCTGCATCGCAGCCTTTTCGGACCAAAACCAATCGACTCAGCGTCCAAAAGACTACAACATATGGGCCAATCGCGGTCATCCATGCTTTTATAAGAACGAAATGGCGCTTTTAGTGACATTTTGCATACAAATCCCCATCTAGTAGGGCGCAGTCACCCAGTTTCGGTGGAAGTACGCGAGTTCGATTGGGATTCAAGTAGGAAGGGAGCGTCTCAGCTTCCTCGGACCACGACCATTCGACTCAGCACCCCGAAGACTACAACTGGTGAAATTTTAATTTTTGCCTTAACTTCCCCTTTAAGAGCGTTGAAACAGTCCCCGGCCTACTTTTTATTTGCATTACACTTGTCATTCAACCAGGCGCGAAATTTCACTTCGTCCTGCCCGAGAACCAGAAACTGCCCGTATACCGTTTCGGCCGTGGCGAAGCCCTGCGCGGTGAGTTAGCCGCCGAGTGGACCCCCAATGCCAGGGACTTCCGCAACGGGTCTGCCACGCAATGAACGGGTGGTGAAACTTTCATGTTTTTTGCTTGTGGAGGGTGTGTTGGAAGCCATCTGCAAAACATATTCACAACAGAAGGATTGACAGCACATGTATTAGTTGCTGGTATAAATAATTGCCTAGTACAATGAAGCTGAAGGCTACTTACTCACCCTGGATATCGAAAATGTGTCTAGAAGAAGGATCGTTCTTTGGAATACAAGCACGGACTAGCGATTCTCTTCGTCGCTCTCAGGAAAATAACGACTGAGAATGTCTTGGCCCCAAATTCCAATCATGTTTAATCATTCACTGGCTTGAAATCCTATCGATATTGCTGACATGAGTCAGCGTAGGGAACATTATTTTCTCCCTTTGCGCAGCTAGCTAGCTACTGCTTGGTCGCAGTACAGTGTCATTTACCTGTTTGGAACATGAAACAGGGGCAGTTCCAGCCTAAAAGCACTATGCATTGTGGCGATATCCCCTCCAGCGACGCCAGCGCTTCTTATTAGTTATAGCGGATGCTTGACATTGTTGTTGCGTCAACGACGTGCATGGTAGTATGATAATGACTGACTTGACGCAGATGCACTGAATACCACCAATCCATGTTGACAGCCAACCTTTTCTACCAGCAAAACACCTACATTCTTGCAAAGTAGATCTGTATACACTGAATGCCACCGATCCATGTTGACAGCCAACCGTTTCTACCAGCAAAACACCTGCATTCTTGCAAAGTAGACAGGTGCCAAGGCATGAATCATCATCGTGATCTATGACCTTTTTCTTCCACACCATGTACGTGGTTGATTGTGTTGAGCATGCATCCTGCGGCACTGCGGCAGCGCCGACCGATCTCCAAAAAAAATGTCACGGTTCGCGTGAGACTCGGCCAAAAGCCCAGTTTTCCGCAGGAACGCCACCACCCTCTTGGATCAAGGCGCAGATGCAGCTCCTAAGCGGTGGGAGGTGAGTAGATCAGACCCACCACAAAGTGGTCAAAGACCGAAATCCCATTCACTGCATCCATGTTTCCCTCGTGCCAGGCCACGAGTTCCCAATTAGCTGTGGGTCGCAGCACGACTGGAAAAAATCCGTCCGCTTCCAAGCAGGACTTGAACCTGGTACCCTCTGTTTCTCAATCATGGTCTTAGATCTCCAAAAGAATAACTACATTACTATTATAGCCTTATCACACGACGGTTCGTGCTCACACGATACACGATACTATGCTTCTACGATGCACGCCAAGACACTTCACACGACGACTAGCTTTTTAGACACGATTGTGACAAGCCAGTTCATGAATTGCAGACGCAGCGCATACAAGCCAATTCAAGAAACGCGAAACCGAAATCGAAATCGAAACCGAAATCGAAATCGAAACCGAAATCGAAAACGCACAGTATGGGGGTCAGGGTGTTGCGGGCTACGATCTCGCGGGCTAAGGCCCAGTAAGGCCGCGGTCACACCGAGCTCGATTCAGCCGTTCAGCCGAAACAAGCGCTTGTTTACGTCACTATTACCATGGAAATGGCTGAAAAATGTCCTACAAGCGACTTTCAGCCGTGGCTGACTCTCAGCCGTTTTTTTCCGGCTTGTTTCAGCCACAGCTTGTACAAGCGGCTGAAAGCCGAAATTCAAAAAATAATTTGAGTGCGCTTGGAGCTCCGGAGCACACCTTGTAGTTGACATGATGAACTGATGTTCTTTCTTGTGTCCGTGGAACCGTGCTATCCCTGTGCCTTTGGTTTTGATCGTGAGTCTGTCTACCCCAACTACACTGTATTCAGTTTGATTTGGATTTTGTCCGACGACCATGGATTTCTGCCGCTGTGCCTCTAGACTGCTGCGTAGATTGTTGGAACTGTGGTTTGAGGCCAAGACAAGGCACCACACTCACGACCGAAATCATGAAGAAAGCCGGGTACGAAGAAGAGAGTGGATTGCAAATGAGTTCAATAACGGCAACCGGCGGGGCAGAAAGCTCGACATCAGGAAACACCACCCGAACCATCGCGTCCATGCACACCGAACAAATAAAAAGAGCACGACTTCGCAATTCAGAATCCGGGCTTCCTTTGCTTCTTCATCAAAACTGAACACTAGAACAAGTACAGTTTTAGATCGCGAACGTTCTCTCCAGTTTCTTGCAAACATTGGTGTGTTTCGAGATATTCAAAATTATTTGGCGGGTAAGAAAAACAAGCCATTCAAGCTTTGCACTCAAGGTCTGGTGTGACCGCGTCACAGGGATCACGCAAGCCAGCTGAGCGCCAGCGATAACAAGCCCAAAGTGGCTTGTTTCGGTGTGACCGGGGCCTTAGGGCCTACGGCTCAGATCGATGATCACGCTGGTGATCCTGTCGGACAGCCGAGAATCCGTGACATTCTCCCGTCGTGTGAAAGGGCTATAGGGCTTGAAAGTGATGACGTCAAAAACGGCCAGGGAGTACTAAGTTGACATCAGATTTCTATTTTGGATCCACTAATGTGTGACTTTGCTATTGCCTCAGTATGTGGGTGCATAGCAACCCACTCATGTCGTATGCAGGGGGTAACTTTTACTTCGCTACCAGTTGTAACCCCGCCCCCAGTAGCCAAATCAGTCAGTTTCACTGGATACATCGCCTTGCTGTGAGTAAGACGGCTTGAAATGTGCTTGGATCCATACAAAAACTGGATCCAAGTGGATCCAATTTTTGAATTTTTGAAATTGTTGCTATGCTGTGACGTAGCACTTTCAAGCCCTATTACGGACATGATTTTAATCATTTTATGCATACATGTACATTTTCATTCACTTTTCATCATTTTGTCGGAACTACATTTGTAGGTCTCCGGACTTGGTGAGAAGGCAGAAATGCCTGTTCACTTGGTGAAGTAAAATAAAATAAACAACAACAGCAACACATGGCCATGACAGCAGCGGGTAGAAAAATAATCATGGTTCATTTGCGCCCCTGATTGTCTCCACTTCCAGTATGGTGGGCAGGGAATGTTCAGACTTCAGTGTTCCTGAAGACCCTGGCAAGTCTTGTTTGCATTCAAATATTTTTCTGTGGTGATGAATCACCTGCACTGCGAGATTTCGTTTTGCTTGATGCGATGGACTGTCACTTGCTTCGATTCAGAGAATCAGGGGCATTCGAGCTTACCCCGCAGGCAAATGCCCTTCGCAGTTGATTGCAGGCTGTGGGCTGGTTAGCAGTACAATCTGAGTCGGCCAAATGCACACTCTACAACGCGTCTTGTCCGAATTTGTGCTGCGTTGAAGCTCGACTGAACAGGAGTAAGATTGCCATCTTCAGGGTAGATCTTCATCATTGTTGGTGACAAGCCGAAAGCGCTATCACCAACTAGATAGGGCCTGACCGTTGCATTGTGGCATTGCCAGGATGCTGCGTTCAGCCATCTTCCCTGGTCAATGTTATGCTTGAGCTGAGAGTTATTGTATGCGGCTGCATCACCAGAGCTTCCAGGCAAGCCGATGTCAGCGAACGTGAACAAGCCGTCACTATCGACACACGATCTGGCGTTGCTCGAATGGTCGGGCAAGCAATGCACTGCAAGCCTTTCTGGAGCATCCCAGTACTCGAACAACGCGCGCGCAACGCAGCTTGGGCCTTCGAGTGCCCAAATCTGCCTCCAAAGCCGGCCACGACCGTCCAACCGCTCGCGGGTCCATTTTATGGAACACCCTGCCATCCGACGTGCGTGGTATTACCCAGTACCACCAGTTCAAACACGCCTGCCTCCCGTTAACGCGTTCTGTCTTGCTAGCAGTAGCACCCACTACTGAACACTACAGGAATCTTTGAACGTTTGCGGTACTCCACAGTACCAGTCATGTGCTGTTTACCGCCTCCCCGTTGTTGTATTCTACCGTTAACGTTATTCATTGACTGAGCGTTCTTTGCTTTGTACTACACCCTGCTATCATGTTAGGCTATTTCCTACAATATTTTACTGTTTCCATTCGCTTCCATGTAATTGGGCGACACCGCCCGTTTGGTTCTGCGAATTCAAATAAAAATGTATCTACCTACCTACCTACCGACACGCCGGATAGTACTTATACAACAGGAAGAAAGGAGATGGCTGTGAATGCAGTCTAATGTCTTGCCAGACGCGCCTCAGCCACACACACACACACACACACACACACACACACACACACACACACACTTGTACTTGTACTTGTTGCTCACTGCCAAAACTGGTCACGTGGGCCTCCCCGGGACAGGGGAGAGAGACTCAAACGGAATCTTGGAAAGGTGACTCAATTGGCTATTGAACCGCCCAACTGCCGACACCCCCTGAAATCCCCAAAACTCTGGGTGGACTTGAAAATGATCTCACTTATGGGCTCACCACACCTCAGTAAGTGGGTGAGGACAAGGTGCAGAAAAAGGATTGACGGCATCAGGGTATCCGTCCCGGGATACAACTGCAGTTACCCCTGCCCCAGTGAAGGTAATACTTGTTACTAATGTGAGTGGCTAAATCAGAGTGGATCTGATAAAAGCTTCACTAGCACCATTGATTACACAAGAGTTAATCTAGCCAGAAGCAGTCCATTGTTAACAGGTATGTATACTTCAAATAGAAAGTATGTAAACCCTGAAACCAAGAAAGGTGGCAGATACAACAATACGCCTTTAATCAGCCCAGCCAGTTGGCAAGTTGGCAACAGACGCAACACAATCAGGCATAAGTGTACCCACCAACCGAACTAGCTGGCACACACACACACACCCACGCGCGCGCGCGCGCGCGCACACACACACACACACAAACAGACACACACAGACACACACACGCACACACACACGCACGCGTTCAAGAATGTACACGAACGTGCTAGAATCAGCTTCACCTAGTTCTGTCCCCAATCTGCTAGGTGGCATAGAACCGCGTAGCCATCTTTCCGGCTGCTATTTCCGCATTGCAATGTTGTGCCATTTCCATCGCCATCATAATTCATAATATTGGGCAAGCCTACCCGTCTGGTTCGCGATGTTAGAATAATTATAAGCAAACACAACAGCATTCACCACCGTTTGCGCATACACATACACCTACGCAGTCCTGGTCCATTTCTAACACCGGTGCCACACCGACAATACGATTACGATTCAGAGAGAAAAAAGGATTTTTGCCAGTTAGCTGGCCTCTGCGTACACCGCAGACTCACACCCACACACAACAGAAAGATACAGATCACAGTAGAGTGTGGTCTTTGTTCACTCACGGTGGAAGATGGAAAAGCTTAGCGTAGTGTATACATGAGCAAGAAGAAGGGCATGCCACCTCACGCATATACATGTACACGTATATACCAGACCAACATGATGCAAAAAGTGGTGAACATGGTGAATGGGGCCGCCGGATAATTAACCAGCCCGAAGCTGGCGGAAAAAAAACCCAGGACCCCGGCGGAGACACATCCCTGAGGAAAAACCGGTTAGAATATCCCCATCAGATAAATGAGAAAAACGTAGCCTGCAGGACCTATCCAAAAGTGAGAGTAAAGGGGGGGGGGGCGGGTGGGAAACTACAACGAAAAGAGAAAGACCACGATGAAGAGAAAAGTTTGAGAACACTGACAAAAAACCAGCTGACGCAATCCTGGTGCCGTAACTGTGGTGAAAATGCTGGCAAAAAATACACTTTCAATGAAAAAAAGCTATCAGTACATCCATGTACAGTGGGACGATAATAAAAGAGAAGCGGGAGATCAGTTGTAAGGAGGACGTACATTTACACTCACAAATGAAGGAGAAGGAACACGTGTAGTACCATGCTTCATGTCCATCCCATGCAGTAAATGAATGACAAATCAGACGATAGGAAAGATGCATTGGAAATGGTAGGAAATGTCACTGACCTTGCTAATACTGTTGGACAGCTACACGTGTACATGTACATTGTACATGTACACGACATGTATATGTAGGAACAGCTGTGGCACAGTATTGGCGAGTTATTTCTTCATCTGCACAGCTCACAAGAAGCTGTTGGCATACTCTTTAATAGCGTTGAAACAGTCCCCGGCCTGCTTTTTATTTGCGTTGCATTCGGTCTTCATCCAGCTTCGAAATTGGTCTTCGTCGCCCTTGAACATCAGATACTGCCCGTATACCTGTGAGGCCGAGTCGCTGCCGTTTTGGGTCAGTCTGCCGCCGAGTACACGACCGACGCCAGGAAGTGCAGTAACGGGTTTGCCGCCCATCGGCCCGCTGATGAAATTTTCAAGTTTTATGCTTGTGGACGCTGTGGTGGAACTCATCTGCAAAACATATTCACAACATAAGGATTGACAACACATGTATTAGTTGCTGGTATAAATAATTGCCTAGCACAATGAAGCTGAAGGCTACTCACTCACCCTGGATATCGAAAATGTGTCTAGAAGAAGGATCGTTCTTTGGAATACAAGCACGGACTAGCGGTTCTCTTCGTCGCTCTCAGGAAAATAACTACTGAATGTCTTGGCGCCAAATTCCAATTCATTTATATGTATAATCATTCACTGGTTTGAAATCCTGTCGATATTGCTGACATGAGTCAGCGTAGGGAACATTATTTCCTCCCTAGCGCAGCTAGCTACTGCTTGGCGGCAGTACCGTGTCATGTACATGTACTGTACCTGTTTGAAACATGAAAAAGGGGAAGTCCCAGCCTAAAAGCACTACTAGTATGCATTGTGCTAACGTGTCACAATTATTATCATGTGGTATGTAGATCTACAACTAGTGCTAGACTGCTAGAACACGACTGCACGCTCCGTGAAGCACGATATTATGAGACTTGGTTTCGTGCACTCTTCTTGTCTTGACCTCGATTTTCTTGGCAGACTGGTCTTGAACGGGGCGTGACTGACAGACTTGAGTAACAACGTAACGTCGTTGGAGGGTGATCCGGAGATCTTCACAGACATGCTACACAACCTACTGCACGGACCAGAAAAATAATCCTGGTAGTGCTAGGGATTAGGAGTGTCAGTCAGTATGTCAATGACATAAATGTACAATCATGTACATTTATGTGTACTGAAGTACAGTCATGTACATCTCCATGATGTACAATGTACTCAATCTGTGGACAGAACTGTTTCGTCCTTTGTGGACATGTACAATGACTATGTATAACTATGTTGTCACCTTTGTCATGTACATGTACATGTAGATGTAGGTCGATCATGGCCTCACAACCACACCTCCGTTCTTTCGTCTCTTTCTGAACAGATGTGAGGGTATGCGAGCGCCTCTGGAGTTTTGTTTTCTACCAAGGACTTTAGGTCCTTTGCATGTTTTGTGCATGCCTCCGTCAACAGGTTCTGTATGCGATGTGTACAACGACGGATATGTATGTATGTATGTATATTTTTATTTGAATTCGCAAGTACACACGGGCTACAAGCCCAATTACATGGAAGCGAATGCCATAATGAGGCCAATTAAGAAAAAAATAGGTGGAGGAAGGAGGAGGACGGTAGCAAAGCACAGGGAGGACAACTCAGGACCAAAATCAACAATTGCACAAATGTGAGAGCACCTGAGACCGAGGGTACCTGTGGAGCGATAAAATGCAAAGCAAACAGAAGAAAGGAAATCACAAGCCAATACACGCTAAACTGCACTAGAGTTAGAATGAAGGGGAAAACCGGAGCTCAACAAAATTATAACGTACAAAGTCATAATAAGAAGTCAACTGGATGAGAAGTAGCACAAGCAAACATTTCCTGACAACGAGAGGGGATAATGTCACTACGGTCCTTTGACCCATGAGACTGTGACTGTGTGCACTGACATTCTGGTGACAGCTCGTTGACATTTCGTTTGGCACTCTCTGGAGAAAAAGGAGCAGTACATATTATTGTATTGCGTTCATGACTTTGTTGTAGTGTGGCGATGACAGCAGAATTTGTTCTCTTCGTTGCTGTTCATGAGTAGCAAAGTATTTACGCAGATCCTACCTGCACCTGCCCTTTCACTGTACAGTGTGCCAGTACTGTGGAAGTGTGAAGGATTACAATGAAGATCGTGAGACACACGCAACCGATCGCCAGACGGGAGGGCACGAACAGTGCAGTTTGGGTTTCTTTCTACTGCTGGAGCAACCTACTCTTTTCCATGTTTCATATTTGGGGAATCCCTCAAAATAATAATAATACTTGTAATTAAATGTTGCGACAGAGCTTTCGGCCATATTTTCAATTCATTGCATTCCCAACTCATCACAACCACGCGCTCTTCAGCCTCTTCAGTCTCGCCTCGCCTGCATACATGGACATTGCAACATCATAATAATAAACAACATACACGTACTTTCCATTGTCATCAGTATTCCGCGTAAGATTTTCGTCGCTTGTGTGGTGTGTTTCTCCACCAATGAGCGCGTACTATGATTTATCGCTGTTCTCACACTTTACCATTTTAGCAGCTTGCATATGCCATTGATATATGTGGAGAGAGCGGAATTGCGCCATTTCTGGTGTATAAGAATGATCATTCCTCCTTTATCATCATTATCATCCTCTACTGATGAGCTCCGACAGGGAGCGAAACAGCTGTCTAGAGGCGTGGAGCAATATTATCTCTCAACGGAAGTGTCCTTGCTGGTGTCTGTATGGTTCGGCTGAAGAGCGCGTGGTTGTGATGAGTTGGGAATGTAATGAATTGAAAATACTTGTACTAATAATGATAATACGAAGTAGTGGTTGCGACTTCGGCGATGATTTGTAAGAAAGGGTTTGCTCCCCACACCACAGCTCACGCTATTCCGCCTACGTGTCAAGTGTCAAGTAACGTCGGCGGAATAGCGCGAGCTCCGGTGTGGGGAGCAAACCCTTTCTTACAAATAATAATACTTGTAATAATAATAATATCCCACAGTTCTGTTGAGCACTGTACCACTGGATCCCGATGTGTGTGTGTGTGTGTGTGTGTGTGTGTGCATGCGTGTGTGTGTGTGTGTATCTTGTGTGTGCGTGTGTTGTGTGTGTGGGGGGGGGGGATGTGGGTGTGAGCAAGGTAGCTTTCTCGCGTTTCGTGGTTGCACTCTACAGGATCATGCTTGTCCCATTTCCCGCAGCTCTTGCGTTGCTCACTTGACTGACTCACGACTGCCATCCAGAACACACGAGAAGTCCATCGAACCTTACACTCGGCGAACCTGCAAGAAAGCACCACTGGCTGCTCAATACACAGCACTTCGGGGAATTCAGCCCTCATCAGCCAAGGGAAACAGTGCCTGAAGAGCACCGCTTATCATGTATAGTGCTGTCCAGGCACAAACATCACCAGGGGGATACAATCTTACGGAGACGCTCCGTTTCCAGAGCGACAAACACGTTGTGAACAATAGATAGCAGCGTGAGTCAGTGTCGCCCATGGAGGTGCTGAAGTTTTGGAAAACCGTGCCTTTTTCGTACTGGCATGTGGCTATAATATTTAAGTACAACAAAATACATCAGTATCCCCATGCCAAGGTGTCCATGCATGCTGGAGTCTGGAGATTAATATGGAAAAGAAAACAATATTTCTTCTATGCCACATTAGTTGACTTCTTCTGTGAAAAGATATTTTCATTACCACAATTTAAATTAGTTTGAGTAAAGTACCTTTGAAAATTATCATGTTCAACTGTCTTCTGGTAGCAGCCTACCCATAAACTTCATATGGCATTCAATTGACCGTAACTTTGGTGTCTCTCAATGGATTTGAGTGAAATTTTCACCACACACTCCTGCCACTATGCTGGCCCTCTGGACATGATTTAAAAGTTCTTGCGCCTCACTGACAGGCTTTCCAGCCCGAAAAGCTCAAAATTCCGGCATAGTGCCACGGTGTGCGAGCCACCCAGGAGCCAACAAAATGAATTCACAATTTTTTTCACATTTTCTTGCCCATTCTGTCCGTGCGCGGTCCCAAAAACAAGTCCAGAAGCAGCCATGGGTGGTGGGATAGGGCCCCTCAACGTGGCCCTGGAATCTGTCACTACAGCACGAGTGGGCGTTCTCTCACAGACTCCCACAGACCGAAGTCAATTTTTGAATTCTTTTAGGTTTAGGGTGTGCTACGAGATCATACCTTTGATACAACATCCAGTGCTGGGACCTCCACAGCGCTGCACACCAAATCCAGGATACCCTCAAAAATCGGCAAAGATTACCACTCACGTTCCACTACTGCCTAGTGGTGACTCCTACCTGACTTCTTGACACGACTCAAACTTGCCAAAGTCACTAAATCAACGTAAACAATAATCAAGCCACATATCTGCAACGTCATGAGGGTGCTGGCAAAAGTCCTGCTGCGGCTTCGCCCGCCGCCGTGCAGCCCAATACGTGGGTAAAAAACATGATTTTTTTGGACTTTTTTGGACTTGGAGCAAAACTCTGCACACTTTGGCGTGTTTCCATGATACGACAAGTTGCGCACGGTCTGCTCACATTCAAATACTGTGCTGCCAAAAATGACAGCGTGCGACAAAAAATTCTTTCCTAGCAAGGGCACATTCTCGGCCATAACTCTTGAACGGCGGGTCAGATCAAGACAAAATTGTGAGAGATTTTGCAGCTATTCATGCTCTTTCAACTGACGTAGCACTCGATATGAATTCACAAATTCGATTTTTCAGCGAATTTTTGGGTAGTCTGCCACCATTAATCGTCATACTCGTCCAGTCGATGTCGCCCCCACCCTGCGAATAATCAGCTCATCTCTCCCGTACCTCCACCTCTCCTTCCATCATGGCCGAACATCAACCATACGTCTTCTTTTTTCTTCAAATTATTAGAGCAATATCCATAGCCTGCACAGTCATGACTCATGGCTGCTAAAATCCAGAGGTCATGACGTCATGACTTCGAAACATGCATAATGTACACGTACACAGAGTTTTGGGGACTACTCGTCACTATGTCGTCCGCCCCGGGATACATGATAAAGGCTGATTCACTCGCATCTTCTACTACATGTACTGTATCAGTGTGAGAAAGAACTTTGAGAAGACGAGTTCGAGCATAAAATAATGCATTGCCATGATTTCTACACTGCCTTTCATTGAAAACACTATCTCCATGACTTCCGAACCCTTTACCATGCAGACCACCAGTGCTGATCAGGTGCATGGTACACAATTGTGTAGCCTATATACTAGAACTGTGGTACAATCATGAAGTTATGCTCCTACCTCCGAAAGGATGCCAAATAATGCTCCAAATTTTCAACCACCAAATTATGCCAATAATTATGCCGGCATAATCCGCCGGTGCCTAGCCATGAGTCTAATGTCTTTCCCATTACAACTGGTGTCCCTCAAGGAAGTATATTGGGGCCTACACTGTTCTCGTTATACCTGAATGACAGTGACACTACTCTCGGAGAGGGAGTAGACCTCGCTGTCTACGCGGACGACACCACGCTGTATCAGTGTCTTGCAGTGGACGCAGATGTGAATGAACAAAGCTGTGTTTTTGCAGCATGCAGTGTATGACCTCTCCGCCTGGGGCAAAGCCTGGAAGATCTCATTTGATTCCACCAAATCCCAGGCCCTCACCATCGATCATCATCGGCCACGTCAGCAGCTCACAGCCATCTCCTTCGATCG